ATGAATTGCTTGTTCTATTCCTCATTTGTAAGTCACTTTGGATAAAAGCATCTGCTAAATGAATAAATGTAAATGTTATGTAAATTCATGCAGGTTTGGGTGAGTAAATTATGACAGAATTGTCATTTTTGGGTGCATTATCCCTTTAAGTTGCATTTTTGACATCTTGATAATTATATTATTTTACAAAAAAAAAAAAAAAAATTCACATATATAACTGGACATCTAAATTAATGAGTAAATTTATCATGCACATTTACCAAAGTTGCTCATAATGACAGGACATCGCAACACTGGTTTAAACAACAGAGTCCCATTCTTTCTTTACAAAGACTTCATTGTTGTAGATGCTAAAACAATTTATTCATTGCTCATGGATTTTACTAGCCGTCAATGTCAGTGTAATGGATTTAATGTTATAAGCAAACTCCATTATTTGTTTACAAACGTAAAAAACTCCAGTTTCTGTAGTACATTACAATATAATGTTAGCTTATTAAAACAGAGAAGGCCTTTACATGCAACAGTAACACAGTGTGTAAGCCTGATAATAATCTGAGTACGAAAGTAGCATTTTGTGGTTCTCTGTTGTCTTTGGAAACCATTGCTTTAGTCAGTCCCAGCCTTTTAAATCAAACAGGTATTTATTAAGGGCCTTCCCAGTGGTCCAGCATCCTAATGCCATGATGACTTTAAGGATCCATCTGAGAAGTCCTTCTGTAGGCATCACGAGGGAACCCAAAGACCCAGATCTGGTCCTTGGGGAAACTAATAAAGGCAGACTGAGGGCAACACTCCCTACTGCCCCTGCTGCATTTTCAGCAAACGCACACACTGTCAGCGAACAGGAGAGGGTGGAAAATGCCAGGCAGCGTGACATAATAACCAACCCATCTGATGATAACCAATCAGAGAGCATTATGAAAAAAGTAGAGCCAATCAGGAGGATACGAGCAGTGATGTAGTCCTCACTTAGCCACAAGAAGTCAAAAGTAATAAGAGCAGGACCAAGTGATTCACCTGCCCATTCTAGATCGTTCGTGAGTGATTTGATAGTTTGGTTACTGGGAGAAAAGACTGAAAGGACAGAGGAAAAGCCAATCAGGAGGAAGCCCACTGATGAGGCTCTGTGGTCCTGCGAACAGAGAAAAAAAGTCATAACAGTGCATATGCATCTTACTAACAGTTGACTAAGACACCGAATGGATGTTTACCTTGAATAGCAGATAAGCAGCATGCAATGATGAGACAGACAAAATCACACATGACATGGCTGTGGTAAACTCTGTTATAAAATCCATCAATGCCCTATGAACAAATAAAACAGCTGCGTAAATCAGTGCACTTGTAAGTGTGCACTGCACTACAAACATGATGTTTAAGTATAACATTATTGCAATACAAATGATTGTAATCACAATGAAAACATGAAATAGTTTTGCACTGGCAGATACAAACTCTTACTGGATAATGCAACAAACTTGCAGGTAAAACAGTTATAATGAAAACGAAAAATGCACCATGTATATAAATATAGTAGGTGACCGTGATTTCACCAAGTACAACATGTTCCTGGATCAACATCCTTGTTGATCTGTTTTAGGCTTATGATCAGGGTTTAGTCTATATTTTTGGACAGTAATGTTGATCCAGGATCAACAAAAGATGTTGATCCAGGAACATGTCTTGCTTGGCAAAATCACGGCGACCAAATATAGTAATGCGACTACAAATTAAGCTACTAACTAATACAGTTACTAATGTCTGCATACTGTATTCTAACTGTGGCGAATAGTATTTGTCACACACCATACATACCTGAGTAGTGAAGTATTTAATTGTGCAGCGTTTAATAGCAGAGACATGGCAACTGCAAAATGTCAAGCAACTAAATTAGTATTTAAATCAAAGTTGTTGTCATTTTGTTATGAGACAAAACGACAAAAATTGTGCTCAGCATGTGCTCACTGTTTATCAACAACCCGAGCGAGCACAGGAAGTGTGTGCTCTTCTGCGTTTAGCGGGTAGAGTGTGTGTTGTACCCTCTAGCGGAAGAGAAAGGAACAGCACCAGCAGTAACGGTGGTGCAGCACTCGGTAATTTTCCTCATTAGAGTATCTTCACAACCTGATTTAAATTAATAACTAAGGTGGTCTAAATGTAAAAATATACATATATGTCTTCTGTGGAAGACTCAGGACCATAAAATGTTCGTCCAATCATTGCATTTGGACCGCAGTGTTTTTACAAGAGGGAGGAATTTGATGAAATGGGTTCGACACAACGAACATACAGAGTTTCTTCTCGACAGGTATGCTAAACTTCAAGTTAAAATTATTACTAATATGTTGGACCATTTATTGAGAGAAATGCCTCCACTTTTATAGATGTAGACCCAGTGCTATGTTTGTGATGTTTGAGCTGGGAGAAGACTGACGTGTGAA